TAAAACTTCTTATTCTCTATTGCACTGGATATTTGTTTGGTTAATTACATTAAGTGCCACTGATGTGTAGTGATTGATCCTAAATCCATACTGACTGCTGCTTAAACTAACCCTAGTATAAACCTGTCTATAAATGTTTCTAAACTGGTTTCAAATAATTTCTCTAATATTCTTGAAAACTGTGGAGGCAAGGATCCTGGTCTGTAGTTGGAAGAAACATGTTTGTCTCTGTTAAGCAGAATTACTTTGAAGTCCAGTGGATTCAAGCAGAAAACTGAAAATAAATTTGCATGTGTGTGTTTGTGTGTGTACCTTGCGCTGGCGTAGCTCTGGCTGGTTTCTGGGTTCTGGATGATCCATCTGAGGAGGGTCACCAACCGGGAGCTCCTGCAGGAGGCGACTGTGAGACCAGCGACTCCACCCAGCATCACCCGGCTTCAGCTCCTCCAGCCGGAGAGGAGTCATACTGTGGAACTGATGAAGGAGCAGAAACATATTAACCCTGTGTGTGTCTGTGTGTGTGTGCGTGTGTGTGTGTGTGTGTGTGTGTGGATAAACTGAATCTTACCGTCCACACCTTCTCCTCAGACCTCCTCTCTCCTGACAGATGGACCTGAACAGCAGCAAAGGGGTTAAAAATATAAAACAGCACATGTAAGTATACATAGATAATATAAAAGTCCTAAGAACAAACAGGAGTAGAGGATCACACTCACCTTTAATCCTCCTTCTCTGACCCTGTGTCCGGTGTTCCCGGTCCCTGGCTGCTGCCTGCTTTGGGGGTGGATGTGGGTGTAACCGGGGGCCGCCTGGTCCTGGGGTTCTCCCTCTCCATAGTCCAGGTAGGGCCGGCGGTTTGGGACGTCTCCTCGAGGAGGGTGAGGCTGGTTCTCCCACAGCAGCTCTGCCTCGATGTCTGTGACAGGGTCCTCTTCCTCCCTCAGCCTGGGGGGATCAGGGAGGCGAGGAGGAGGGAGCCGCTTCTCCTCCTCCTCCACCCTCAGGTCGTCTGGATCGCACCGTCCTTGAATATACCAAAGAGAGAGAGTTCTTTCTTTTAACTACTCCAAACTAAAAGGTTGCTCCAGGCAATCTGTCCTTGAAAAAGCTGCCGGAGTGGGCGTGTCCTACAACTTTTTTCCATGCTTTGCGCAGATACGTCGGCAGACATTGTTCTCATATTATTACGACTCAAAATCTTTAAATCTCAGGGTTTTTTTACTTTCATGTGACTCTTATACTCTGTCTTATTTACAGCTCGTCTATGATTAAATAAGTTCCTTCTAAAAGAAGATCAACAATCAACCAACAACCAACAAACTCAAACCTTAGCTCGTCCTGTTCTGAACATCGATATCTAAACACAAACATTTACATTTAACAAACTAAGGGGGAGATTTAAAAATAGATTTGGTCTTTGACAGTTTAGGAGTTGATTTTTATTTACCTCCTCTGGGGTCGATGATCTCAACCCTGGCGGAGGTCCTCTGTCCCAGGACGGCGTTTTTCGGATTTTTCAGGGTGACAGTGAAAGTCTCGTGATTTTCCTCCAGACCGTCGTCTATCAGGTAGATGTTCCAGGTTTTCACGCTGACTCCTGAACACAGAAGGTTTTACCGAATGATGCAGGCATGTTGATTTAAAGGTCACATCTTCCCATGTTTCTCTAACTCTAACATGTGTCTCTGGTCCGTCTACAAACCCCCAATGATGAGAAAAGTCCATCCTCTCCGTCTTCTCCCTGCTCCACTTTTCAGAAAATGTGTGCTCAAACAGGCCGTTTGGAGATTTTCCCTTCATGACATCACAAAGGGCAGTAGCCCCTCCCCCAGGTGGGTGACACTCCCACAGCTAGGTGTTTGTTCTGCCCTCTGAGTCTGCCTTCTCACCGTAAACAATAGGACATGGAGCGAGAAAGACCGAGTACACCCGAGCCCTTCCAGAGAGGGGGCGTGGTCAGACACAGCTCATTTACATATTTAAAGGTACAGACACAGAAACAGCCTGTAAAAGAAGCCAAACAGAGTCCTGACCTGGGTCAAACTGGATGAGAGCGGCTGTGCTGTGGGTGAAATCTCTGCCGGGTTTGGCCGATCCCTCCTCCACCTGTGTGAACAAACATGTTAAAGAAGAACCGAGCAATGATTTCGATTTATAATGACGTTAATCTTCCTTTAAACCAAGAGACAAGGTACCTGGATAGCTATGTACGCCGGGTCGACGCTCTTTCCGCTGCGTTGGATTTGGATCTGAAGCGTCCCCGCCGTCTCACAGGTTCGGTAGCAGGTCACCGACAACTCCACCCGAGACCAGGACAGGTCCAGTCTGCAGGAGACACACAGCTGAATCCTTCATATTGTCACAAGTTTTTAAGTATTTCTGAGTGACACAAGCTGAAGGTCGGCGCTGGTTACTTCCTGGTTCGATCACTGAGCTTCAATTCTGAAGAAGCCGAGTTGGTAAGATACTCGTTTGTATTTTTAACACGTAGATTCATCGTATTAAACTGTTTTGTGTCTTTGTGCATGAGCGTGATCTTTCTACAAACCCACATCTCGGGCAGCGCCATGTTTCCTGCCGGGTCAATGAGGCGGAACTCGAAGCTGTCGGCCGTCACCTCCATATCGACGGGGAGGACGAACACGACGGCACGCTGGTCCACGTCCCGCTGCGTGAAACGACCTTTAATGTACGCTCCTGTGAGAACAGAAAGAGTCTTCATGAGGAACATTACTATTCTCTCCCGATACTGGAGTGTTAATCTGTTGCTAGGTAACGGCTCGGCTCACCTGTGACAGCGTTCTCCAGGTATCCGAAGTGAGGCGGTCTGGTGATGGAGAACTCCAGCTCCTCCGCGGGGCTGTCGGGGTCCGAGGCCTGCAGGTGTTTGGAGGTGATGAAGACGCCGTATCGACCGCCGCCCAGGTCCACCACGGTGCTGGGGCTCCTCCTGGTGGTCAGACTGGGAGGCGTCCGGTCCACGCGTTGCACCTGAACGCACCACAAGACTTTTAGCAGCTGGTTACCCAACAGGAGGACAATATTTTTACTCGATTTTTTATCCTTTATTTTATTCTCAGTGAGACACTTTTTATTTCTAAGGGAGAATCGGCCATAAAAGTTTAAATTCAGACATCCTGGTACTCGATACTTTGATGAAATGTGACGGATTATTTTAAGATTTCATTATTTTTAATCTTTGAACCTCGTATGATTTTATAAATTTTTTCAGTTTCATGCAACAATGAGGTAAAATAATATTTGTAACATCCAGAAATGTTGCATAAAACAACAAATGTTAACACACACATACAAAAAAAGAAGGAACTTCCTTATAGTAAGGCAGAGCTGCCCTGGGTGGGTGGTCACAGGTAATGTCTGTGTGCGCTGCTGCTGAGGTCATAAAGAAGCGTCAAGCTTTAGGGATCATGCTTCATGGACGCATTTGAGGCGACATTGCGCGCCAAATTGAGGCCAAATGTAGAGGTAGGAAGGAACTGCAGGATGCTGTGTGTTGATGTTGGACACTCAGTTGGGGTGAAAGCGTCTCTGTGTTGCCGCGTGATTGGTTCATGTGTTTTGTTTATTGAGGTGATTTGTAAATATTGGTTTTGAAGTGGTCACTGTGATTATTAAATATTGTTTCTGTCTGTGTTGTGGTTTTAAAGTTGAGTCAGGCAGAACGGAGTGAAGTGAAAACTGATGCCAATGTTTTTAGATTGGTGTGTGTGTGTGTGTGTGTGTGTGTGTGTGTGTGTGTGTGTGTGTGTGTGTGTGTGAACCTTGTCGCCATTAAAGACGTCATGAACTGATTTATGAATCATGAATAAAGTTGCTTTTTGACACATTTATCTTGTGCCGATGAGTTTCTTGCAGGGGGCTGCATTTCCCTTCATTATTAATTTGAGACTCTCAGAGGTGCAGTTCTGTGTGTTCACCACCAGATGTCACTCTTGTCATGTGTTATAATCAGCAGACTCAGAGTGAGACTCACTGAGAAGCTTTAAAAACATCTTTAAGTATCTTTATGTTTAATAAAGGAAAGCTTCCTATAAAAATAAAAACACACATATATGTAGAAATGTTTGTGTGAATATGAGTCATGATGTTTTTAAAAAGACGTCTGCATCTTTCAGCACCTCCACGACTTCCACTAATGATTATTAATCTGCTCATTAACTCCATTGATCGGACATGAAAATCGGACACCCAAAAAAAAGATGTAAAGAATACCCCTAGATGAATCAAACTTAAACTTTGCAATTAAAAATAGATTTATACAAGAAATGTAAGAAATGTACATAACCCGTGCAGGGATAGAAATATATGTGAGATTTAAACAAGAACCTAAAAACAGCTGAGGAAAAAAATCTGTAATTAGACCTGAATATAAAAAATAAAAAAGTGTTGACCTTCTGAAGTTGTGATGTTTATATATGTACAGCAATGTTTGAAAAGAAGATTTATATTTATTTTTATTTTATATTATATTTATCAAATATTTATTTGATAAAAATGGCTGAAACGTTTGAGTGCTCTGACTTTGTTTCCAAGTGTTTATTTGTGGATTCATGTTGGGTCAGCAGTAACAGAGATGTGATCACAAAGTGTCACTAGGGGTTCAAGGGGCTTTGACCTTTGACCCCTCAGTTTGAGCTTCCAAAGAAAAAAAGAAACAATCCACTGAAGTTGGGGGGGGGGGGGCATCTGAGCAGAGACTGACTGGGACAAATATGACCCTGCCTCTTAGATCGGTTTCTTAGCGTGCGTGTGTGAGGGTTGGAGCAGTTTGGACAGTTATGACCCTCCACCTCTGAGCGTTGACTGTACCGTCCCCCACTCTCGCTCATCTCTCGCTCTCACGCTGTGAACCCACTTCACACACACACACACACACACACACACACACACACACACACACACACACACACACACACACACACACTGCTGGTAGGAGGCAGAGCTGCACAGTTCACAATAATCATGATCACTACATAAATATGACGCAGGGTCTTAACAACAGACCAGGAATTTGCAGCCCCCTGGTGGGTCATGAAGGTACTGCAGGTGTTGGCTGTGAGAGGTCAGAAAATATAATTATTTTGCTTTTCAAGATTAAAGATTAAAGCAGGCTGAAGCTATATGAGCCACCTGCTGATACCTGCATGATAAATACAGATACAATAAGATGAACCAGAGTCACTGCAGCCTGAGAAACAATCACAATACTCTGAAATATATATATATATAACACTTTTCTTAATTTTCTCGCTGAGGTACAAGATTTATTTTCCAAGAGAGTCCTGAACCAGAGAGCAGCATCAGAGATTCACACAATAAACAAACTTTACATCAATCAACCAATCAGAAGCCTCCAGCAGAGAAACATGTGAATACAGTGGTCAAATGATCCTTTATCCTGCTTTTTAAATCTTCCAAGCCGATTAAACAGACTCTGCAGCTCAGACCGAGACGATGGTGCTAACACACTCAAAGCGCTTTCACCAAAGTGAGAGAACGTTTTGTTGAGATCTGATCAGGAAGTGTCGTCAAGGGGCGCTGCGCCACAGATGAACATGTTTTAATATCTGAACAGCAAGCGTGCTGCGCTCACCTCAACAGGGTGCAGACGCGCTCTTGCACTGCGCTACACATAGACAGTGAATGGGTTTTAGAGTGGCTCGCAGCGCCCACCACATCCTTTCTGAAAGGACGCTCATCGATGCCTGTGGGGCTGCGCGTGTTTAAGGGCGGATAAAATAAGTAGGGAAAATTGGAATATAGGGTTTTTATACCTGTACCTGTCGTACTTTTTACGTCGATGTTGTAGAATCAAAAGAATTCTGGTGATAAAGAGTTCTTTTCCTTTCAGGTACCAGGTGTACCCAACCTGCAGGAACACCTCAGGGGTGCTGGGATTCTCTGTCACCGTGGAAACACAGGCCACCAAGTTCAGGTGAGCTGACCTCTGTTGACCTCTGCTGCAGGTTTTGTTGTTTTGTTTTGACGCTCCAGGCGACTGAGCGGACGTGTTTTTGTCTTTTTGTCCTTTCAGCACAGAGTTTGTGGAGGCGAAGATCGAGGAGTTCCTTGTCAGCTTCGGCGAGTGTTTGTCGGGTCTTAGCGAGGAGGCGTTTAAAACGCAGGTGACCGCTCTCATCAAGCTGAAGGAGTGCGAGGACGCTCACCTGGGAGAGGAGGTCGACCGAAACTGGTTTGAGGTCGTCACGCAGCAGTACGTCTTCAAGCGGCTCAACAAAGAGGTGAGAGGCACTTCCATTCCTCGTTCTGTGATGACCTCTTACCACACCTCACACCACAGGAGAGTCTGGAAAGATCATCTTAGTAACCATCAGCTAATCGGGCTTTTGCTGGCTTTAGTCAGAACGGGAGACTCAAGCCTGAAATCTTTCCAGTCGTCCTGTTTTCACACATGTACTCTCATAAGCTTTGTCAACAACAATGGCTGATGAGAACATGTGACTCGTCTTTTCCAGGACTTTTAGTGCTGCTGAGTTTTTGAACAGAATCAAATATTAAGCACACTGATTAATTTAAAACAGACTAAAGAGTCACTAATTGAACTAACTGAGACACAGGCCCCTGTCGACTCATCCTTAACATACTTATTAAGAAGACTTTTTCTAAATCACAACATCTAATGACCATGAACTCATACAGCTTACAGTCACTTAGTGGACTCTGCAGGTCTCTGGTTCTGGCTCTGATCGGCTGTGTTTTGTGCAGATCGAGGCCCTGAAGGTCTTCAGTCAGGGGGAGCTGGTCTCCTGGTTCATGGAGCACAGAAACGGCAGCAGTAGGAGGCTCAGCGTGCACGTGAGTCTGTTTGTTGAGTTGACGTCATGAAGGTTTGTAAATCTCTCGTAGACTGAGTTTGAACCCTTTTGTCCCCCCCCCCCCCCCCGGTGTGGACTAGGTGGTCGGTTTCGGCGTGGAAGAGAACGACCCGCCTGAGCAGAGTGTCTGCTGCAGCCAGGACAGCCCCGACTCCCCCCCCTCCTCCTCGGCATACGGGGAGGTGAGCGAGCTGAACTTCCTGCCTGCCTCCTCGCCGGCGCTCCAGGACGTCACGCTCATCTCAGACATCAGAGCGTTCACCTCATCCCTCCCCCTCCACCCATACCACAAAATCCTCAGCTAGGTCCGGACGGACGGTGAAGGTGAAGAACGCCTCGTTCACTCTGTCAGTGTGTCGGGGAAAATAAAGTTACCATTGAAACAGCTAGCATCCATGTTTGATGAAAGAGGATGGACACACCTTGAGGAACTTTTAACACGCGTTTAGTTTTATTGTGAGTGTTTGTAAAATGCTGCGTTCATGTCCTGTGGGAAAAACAAAGATCTGGGCCTGTATTTATCACACACGTCGTCATCAGTCCCTTAAAATCCTCTGAAGAGCTGCATGTTCACATAAAAAAAAATACTATGTAGCTTAAAGCTCTGCAGTGTGCAAAAGCAAAAAAAAAAGAGGCTGAACTATAGCGTGCTGTTTATATGCAAAGGTAGGACGCTTACTTTACCTAATAATGACTGTTACTAATAAGCTATTTGCACTAACTAGGCCAGCGGACAATAACAACTCAAAACGCTTTTCTATCATGACAGTAATGCTTTAACACAAACAGTAATAATGATGCAAACAGAAGTTTTAATTGATGTAATATAACACCACGATCAAACACCTTTCCTCTGTCATTAACTCGATCAACTTTATTAATCCCACATGAGGAAAGTTGGGTCGACACAGCTGGTACTTAGAAACACAAACAACAATCAGTTCAACATACTTAAATATGGAATCAGTTCTAACATTAATTCTGAACAGAAGAGCTGAGCGAACATGAATCAGAACCTGTTTTTTACTCCTTGTTCACGTGGTAACGACCAGTTTGTGATTATTATTTCAAGAAGTCGACTTGTCTCGTATCGTCAGAGGCAAAAGCACGAAACGGTTATAGAAAATGTAGCGTAGAACTTGGTGTTTCAAGCCCCGTGTTCACTGAGCTTTTTTTTTTTTTCTGAGCGCCTGCAACTTTTTTCAATTGTTTTCAATGAGGAGAGAGCGTTTCCAATGAGGAGAGAGCGTTTCCAATGAGGAGAGAGCGTTTCCAATGAGGAGAGAGCGTTTCCAGCAGCAGACGGACACCCGGAGAAAAAGCGCAGTGCTGCTCAGTGTTTTTTTTCCGGGCGCTCTGCCTTTTTTTATGCAGTCGCCCCAAGCACTGAAGCTAGGGTGAGCCTAGAGCGTGTTAAGAGTGAGCTTAGAGTGAGCTTAGAGTGAGCTTTAAGCTAGCATAGGGCGAGCTTCAAATGAGTTTAGAGCGATCTTAGATTGAGTTTAGGGCGAGCTTAGAGCAGTTTAGAAGAGAGCTTAGATTGAGTTTAGAGCAAGGCATCACAGGTGTTATCATGTGTAAATTACAAACTGATGTCAGTTTCTTTTTTCAGAGGGAGGTAGGTGCCATAAACCTGAGAACAAGTTCAGAGGTGGATTCAAATGAAAGGGTTAAAAGACAAAAGGGAATATTCTTTTAAATTAGTTTAGCTTCATAAGGAAAAGCTTTGTGAGTTTCACTTAATTTACTAGAACAGTGTTTTTGAGTTCATGTGAATGTATTAGTTCAGTTCAGCGCACACGTTACTGGGAGTAAAACTTTTTTTATCCCAAAATACATTCATGATTACGATTTTAGTTATAATCAAGCAGCTTTAAAACAATATATATTCTTTGTGTTTCCTGGTTTGTAAATACAGGCCCAGAGCTTATAGAAAAATACTGTTCAGCTTATTTTCTGTTGGAGTATGTTTGATTTTAATTAAAGTCATCGACCAGGTCTGTTCAGACAAACTCCTGAGTTAAGATGAAGGTTGATCTTTTCTGTAATAAACCTGAACAGAATGAAGAGCAGGAAATAACAATCACTGCATCCCTTATTGGTTTAAACGAGTCAGCTCCGTCGCTTTGACTGTGAAAAATGTAGTATGATCATTTCCAGGGAGTAAGTGAATGCAGCACGAAGACTCAGGGCTCTGGTTTAAAATCCAGTCTGATACAAGAGACGACAAAGACGGGCATCTGTATCTTGAAAATGTGACTTCAGCCAGTATCACTGCGAAACCTACCATGTTTTTATTTATGCGTTTACATATTCATGTTCATACTGACTACTGGATGATGTATATGAAGAATTAAATGTACAGATTAAACAGCTTCTGGTGGCCAGTGATTTCAAACTGTGACGTATTTTAACTCAGAATGTACCGCTGTGGTTTATGAGTCCCGGAGAACGCTACCGAAATAATTTAAAATGACTTAAACTTTCATTTTAATGACGATTAAAAAAATACGTAATCAAATGTTTCAGTGAAGAGAAGTTTTGTTTGTTTTTCTGTCCTTCAGTAATTATAGAACAATAATAAAGACTTTTATAAATGCTTCAAATGTAACTTTTATTCAGTGTGTTTCTCTGTTTAAGTGCTGTGATACAAAGTTAAGATCGTATGTCAAACTGGTGTTTAGAAAGCATAGGTTTGGATTAAGGTCAGGTTCGAAGATTTTGAAATGTGTCAGTGTGACGTCTTGTCAGTGTGAGATCACTGATCTAAGCCCATTGGCTCATTGCGGCAAGCCCTGCAGCTCAAGTTGAAATTTCCCAGAAGCGTGCTGAGCAACTGACCAATAACGACAGAGCAGATCGGCAGACCAATCAGAGCAGACTTGGCCCACGTGGGGTCTAACAGTGTGGGCTCAACAGAGTGTAGCTGACGGACTCAGAGCGTAGAGGGAGCAAGGAGGAGCAGTACATAAAAACAGACACTTTTTAAAAACTTTATCTATTGTGAACGTACAAAAGTAGGAACATAGATTAAATATACAAACCCCTAAAAGGGCAGAATATGGGCTCTTTAAGATGTCCTGCCCTTTTGTCCTGATGAAGGTCTAGTACCCAAACGTTGCCCTGTGAGATGCTATACACAAACACCACATTATATTACTATTGTGCTCCTACAGCATCTAAGCAGCAGGTTTGTACTGTGGTATCACTACATCTACCTAAGCAAAGGATTGTTGTACACAGTTCTTTGACTGGCATACTAATTTGTTTGTGGAGCAGCTCCACCCTGCTCTTTTTCAAACAGGCAAGTCCAGGCAGTAGAGAAAGAATGAGCTAAGACTGCACCCAGGATAAAAATAGGACGAAAAAATTCACCTGGGTTTTATTGCCTCTGTCTTATTGAGAACAGTACACCGGGAGCTTTCCTAAAAGACATAGATGTTTCTAACTTGGTTTTATTGTGGGGTGTGAATTTAGAGTTGAACTCTGTCTCTATGGGTGTGACTGTTCTTTACAGCTCTCACGGTGTCAGGGAACGCTCCGGTGAAGACAACATAGAAGGTATCATTTTCACTGCATAGTGCATTATTCATCTCAGTATATTCCCTTGTGAGTTAAAACTTAGTTCATTTTTATTTAGAATATTCTTCCTGTTATTTTCTGGAAGAGACGGCCAGCAGTGCGAGGAGACGTCAAAGAAGTTAAGAGGTAAGAGATTCACCTGATTAAAACATATAAGTGAATAAAGATTGCCAATTCAGATGTTCTTTGTGTTGCAGGAGATATCTTTGGAATAAACCTGTAACTTTGTTTATTTGTCAGACAATCATTCATCATAAAACTGTTATTTGTCGTAGTCTTAGTAGTCCATATTATTTAACTCTAGGACCGCGCCCTAAAGATTTCGATCCCTATTTTGCACTTACACAGTGACAGCAACTGTTTGCCTGATGAAGGTTAAGCACCAAAACGTTGCCAATAAATGTTTGTTTGCAAGTTAGACAGTGAGCGGGAGTTTATCTTTAAGTACAGAAGAACATAATGTAATGAAAAGGGTTTAATCATGAGATCAGCTCTACAGTGTCAGACCCAGTCTAGGCAGGAAAAACAGGATTGCCGACTTGCAGATGAGGAAATAGAAATGATTGAGCCAGAGCTCAAGATTGGATGAACATATTTTCTAAATGACCTGAAACAGCTGGTGTTGACACCTGATGTTTATATTGAGAGGGTTTTTTTCAGAATCCGGCAGGTAAGTGCGGACACAGTTGAAATTATTCAGTCTTAATTGACTTAGCTTACGTATAACATCAGTAGATTGTCGTGATTTACCTTTGTTTAGTTTGTTTATTTCTTGTTTTTGTTGCTTAAATGTGAGTCCGTTTTATTTTGTCATTTGTATCCTCGTGTCTCTCTTTTCTGTGTCTTCAGTGTTTCCTGTCTTATGCTATTACTGCCTTTTGTGTCATCTCTTGATTGAAGTGTTGCCCTTGCCCATGAACAGTTTTATATCTGAGACCCGTATGTAGTGTTTCCTGTTTTATATCTGGGTGGTATAGCGAGGAGAGTAGGCCCATTCGCGGGAGCTACAGCGGCTGTGGCTCAGTTGATAGAGTCGGTCACCTCTCAACCAGAAGGTCTGGGGTGCAATCCCCAGCTCCTGCACACCTAACCTCACCACACCTCCTGCTTCTTCAGCCGTGTATGACTGTGTATGAATGTGATTAGTTACTTCTGATGGTCTCTTTACTCAGCGGCCTCTACCATCAGTGTGTGAATGGATGAGTAAATACTGATGGACTCTTTACTCAGCAGCCTCTACCATCAGTGTGTGAATGGATGAGTTAATACTGATGGACTCTTTACTCAGCAGCCTCTACCATCAGTGTGTGAATGGATGAGTTAATACTGATGGACTCTTTACTCAGCAGCCTCTACCATCAGTGTGTGAATGGATGAGTTAATACTGATGGACTCTTTACTCAGCAGCCTCTACCATCAGTGTGTGAATGGATGAGTTAATACTGATGGACTCTTTACTCAGCGGCCTCTACCATCAGTGTGTGAATGGATGAGTTAATACTGATGGACTCTTTACTCAGCGGCCTCTACCATCAGTGTGTGAATGGATGAGTAATACTGATGGACTCTTTACTCAGCGGCCTCTACCATCAGTGTGTGAATGGATGAGTTAATACTGATGGACTCTTTACTCAGCGGCCTCTACCATCAGTGTGTGAATGGATGAGTTAATACTGATGGACTCTTTACTCAGCGGCCTCTACCATCAGTGTGTGAATGTGTGTGAATGGATGAGTTAATACTGATGGACTCTTTACTCAGCGGCCTCTACCATCAGTGTGTGAATGGATGAGTAAATACTGA